CAGGGGGCAGGGGTTACCTTTAATGCTGCATTTTGTGCCAAATCCCCCACATTGCCCTGTCCCTGAGTGTCCCTGCCCACCTTCCCCCCCATGCTGCAGGGCAAGCACAGGGTACAAAGGAATAAATTAAGTGTTCTTCCCACTCCCCTTCCCCAATAAATAGAGTATCCTGCCCAGGGCCTCCCCCGCCTTGTGGCCTGGTGGGCTGGGGCAGGGCCTGGGGTGTTACATTCATGGCTGCCCAAGGGGGTGGCAGTGGGCAGGCCTCAGCGGGAGCCACGGGCCCCACACAGGGGCACTGTACTGTCCTGGCTCTGCCCCTCCATGTCCATGTCAAGCAGCGTGGGCTGCATGCTGGGGGGCCCGGGGCTCTCTGGAGTGTCCAGCCTATTGGGAGGCGAGATGCTGAGTGTCCGGCTGAAGGAGACCAGTTTCCAGGAGTCCAGGCAGGGGCGGCTGGCAGCAGGCCGGGGTCTTGGGGTGAAGGTCAGGGTGGTGGGGCGGCCAGGAAACTCGGGGGGCTGGAGGTGGGTGGGAAACAGAGCCTGGGGTTTAGGCAGGTGGGGGAAGTCCAGGGGATCTCGAGGGCCTGGTAAGAGAGGATCAGAGGAGGTGAGTGAGGTGGAGCCGAGGGTGGTATTGAAAAGCCAGGAGCATTGACATGAAAATCGGAATTTCTGACTTTTCTCAAAAAACCTGCTGGAGAAAAAGCCCTCATCCTTCCCAGATCTCTTACACTGGGCTAAGGTCAGACAGAGAGCTCAGAGCTAAGGAGGAACGGAGGCCTGAGGCATGATAGCATCTCTAGACGGGATAACAGCGCCTCCCCACAAGGGTGAGGAGTAGGTCCAACAACAATGGTGAGACTAGCTCAGTGCCTGATAGGAGGTACCCAACTCCTTTATGTTTTGGTCTCTTTGTAGGGTCAACAAAGGCACCTAGAACAGGACCTGGTGCATGACTGTTGGCTATAATTCTTTGTTAGCTCTAGGTATTGCCATCATTAATGTCACCTGCTTGGCCCCTGTGGGCATTAGTTTGTCACCTCTGCTTCGTCCTGTGTCACAATCACCTGGGGCCCCACAACCCTTCCCCCCCCTGCTGGGCAGCTCAGGGGTGGCAGCTGGGCTGGGACATCGGACCTTGGAAGGGCAGGGAAGAAGGGCCGTTTTCTGCACACGGGGCACAGGGTGCCTCACTCACCAGGGCCAGGGCCTGTGGGCTCTGGCGCCCCCCGCTGCCCTAGCGCCCCATCCGAGGGGGTCCTCCGGTGCCCGCGGTTCACAGCGCGTGTGGCAGTGACTGTGACGTGGGTGGGCGTCAGTGACTGGCGGGGGTCCTTCTTGAAACTCTCCAGCTCCAGATCCACCAGGGGGTTGGTGCTGGGCGAGGGCGCAAGAGGAGAGGGCGCCGGGGAGGGTGCGGCTGGCGCAGCCTCGTCGCTGTCGGAGCGCAGCAGTGAGCGCGTGGAGTTGCACAAGCGACACCAGGGTGGCCGAAGGCGCCAGGCCAGGGCCGGCGGAGGCTGCGTTGGGGCGTCCAGGGGAGCGTGCGGGCGGGCTGAGGCCCCGTGGGAAGCGGCCAGCGCGGTGGAAGAAGAGGCTGTCGAGCCATCTCCGCTGCTCCTCACCGTCCGCTGCGCGCGCTTCCGCCACGTCAGCGCCCAAGCCCACCGCGCCCAGCAGCGTGGCACAGCCCAGCAGCGCAAATTCACAGCGCCTCCGCCGGGCGCC